AGTTAAGTGGCTAGTGGCACTTTCTTCCAGACAGCCACCTCCCAGGAATTTAGAGAGTAAAGTCATTGTTGTGTAAGCATCTGTGCTCTTAAAGTAGCTTCTTAAACTGTTCACTTGCTGATTTTTACATCTTAGCAGCACTGAGGTGAGCTGGGGCTAGCATGGGAACAGACACAAGTGACATTCAGCTTGCCTTGTTGTCAGGGACACAGACCAAGAGGCACAGCTCCCTGCTGCTGCCTCAAAGACTGAGGAGTTCCCTACTCTCTCAGGGCTCTGATGGACTGATGTAGAACTAAATTATTGGATTCTGTACAGAAATGAAATTCAAGGACTGTCAAGTGATGAAGAACGGCTGGGATTTAGCAAGACATTTCAATCCAGCTATTAAGTGTGAAGGTTAAGAGAAGGAATGACACTCAGAGAAAGAAGAAAGCATACGTGGGTGTGATGTGAGGATGGGCTTCTCAAAAAAACAACTCTGATTTGTGTAAAATGGTCACCCACAGGATACTGGTCGGAGGTGAAGCTATCGTCTTCAGAGGGTTGCTTAGAAACCCACGTGAGATCTTATGGTAGTTCCTATGCACTCAACAGGCTCACAGCTGATCTCAGATCACAGAGGTTACAGGGCAAATTAAGATGTTTTAATTGTAAACAAAGGTTTAACCTTGTTTGGGATTCCCAGAAAATGTCCAAGAAAAGGAATGAAGCCTGACTTGAGGTCATATATATTCAGGATTTAAGCCTGGCTCATTGCTGTTTCAACATAAATTATGTGGGTGAAAGGAATGTTATCTCTATGTTGGTAATTTTTCCCAGCAAACATTGTGCACTGTGTTGGAATTCTTACTTCTCAGCTGGTGAGAGGCTTCGAGCAGGCTTTGGGGTGAGGTGCCCCTCTAATTTCTCATAGCTTCCCCACCTTTCTATCCTGCTTCAGAGTCTATAGTAGCCTGAGTGCTTTGTGCTTTGACCAGAAGAGCTCACTGAACTAAGGTATATGTAAGAATAAGCACAGTTAATATTCTCCAAATGGTAACTCCATTCCGGGTGGTCTTATATCAGTTTCCAAAGTGACCTTTGTGAGTTCCTCCTATTACAGAGAGGAGAAAACAAACTGAATTAGAAGAACTTCTACAAGACAAGAGGTCAAAACATAGTCAAGAGTCAAAGGCAGTTAAATATCAGACTGGCCACTCTCAACCAGTGCATAACCCCTGTGTCTGGAAGATTAGGGTAACCTACTAGAGAAGAGAAACCCATGAGCAGACTTAGCCAGCTGAGGTAGAGAGGAGGCTTAGACAAAAGGAAGGAGAAATAAAAATACACATTCTTTCTTCCTCCTTGACCACTTCTGTCTAAATTGACACCAATTCTTTCTTCTAGTGGATGGGATATTAGATAATAACCATCATCATCCTCATCATCATCATTGTCATCTCAAATTTTTACAAGTGGACTCTAACTAACCAGACACAGAGGAAAGAAAGAAGGCAAACTTAACTTTGACTTAAAATTTAGGTGTATTAAGTTTAACCCATATTAAACATATTACTTTAGGCGTATCAAATGCAAAGTGTTAAGCCTTAATGTGAGGGTTCAGACTGGAAAAAATAAACTATAAAGAAATAGAGTACAGTTGCTCAAAACTTGTACAGATTTATATGCTATATCGTCATATGGTGTATTTTTTCTCATTGTATTTATGGAATTCGAATAGGACCAGGATGACTTTGAGTGCATCATTCAATAATATCAAATAGCTATTATAATTAAAAGGGGTTTTAAAGTAAATAGGAGTTTAACCTTGGGACTCATATATGCTAGCAAAACACACTATCAATAAGGTATATTTCCAGCTCCTAGAAAAATTGTAAAAATTATTCCCACAATTAGGGTTTAATTTCTACTCCTCATAAGAGTGACATATATTAATTCCATAAATGTTCACCACCTCCAAAGTCTTAAGGAAGTATTAATTAAGAATATTCATTAAGGAAAAATTAATGTGAACATGTTGATGACCTTCAGATTGTTCTTTCATACATCTTTTTCAGATATATGCACAGGTGGGCATTTGCTCATGTGCAGATACACCATGGAATCATAAAACATATACTGCTCTGCAACTGATACCATTTATTCATATGTTTTCATTAATATTCTAACAGTAGTTTCACAGCTGCATTGCATGGACACTGCATAATTTATTTCCCCCAAACTTCTACTGACAGACACTTAGACTGTTTCTGGTTTCCCTGAAGAAAAGAGGTTTCTGATGAACACAGGAGTTGGGTGTTGTTCAGGGAATTAACCTAAGCAAGAGATTCTCTGTCTTGAATAAGATCACTGCAGTAGTCCTTGGGTACTTTGACTTCCCAGGTTAGGAAACTAGAATTCAGGGCTGAAGAGTTGAGGGCTCAGCGGTTGAGGAGCATATTCTGCTTTTGCAGAGGACCAGAGTTCTATACCTACCACCCACATTAGTTGCACAAGGTAGCTTATATCTATGATGTTAGCGCCATATTATCAAATACCTTTGCCTGGCTCCCATGAGAATCCACACTCATGTGCACAGACACAAACATATACACGTAACTAAAAATAACAAGTCTTTAAAGTAAAGATGCTGGGGTTCACTTTGCTGTCATGAAGTCTGCCTCCTCTCCATTTTCATTAAACATGCCTTACCCACATTGGCTTCTTGTATGACTCAAGGCATCAGGTGACTCCAAACCGCAGATAACACACCAAGGACATCATAAATGACTAGGGCAATAACCCAGGATTTTCTTTTCTATTCCATATATATATTTGTTGTTGTTGTTATTGTTTTGTGTGTTTGTGTAAAGGTCTATGTGTCACTGTACATGTGTATAAATCAGAGGACAGTTTTCAGGAGTCAGTTCTCCTCTCCCACCACGTAGTTTCCAAGGACTGAACTCAAGCTGTCGGGACTGGCAGCAAGCATCTTCACCTGATGAGCTACTTCACCATCCCAGGCAACAAGCTTTTGATCAGTCCCTGATGATGGGCACATCACACAGACTAACGAAGATACAAACCAATAAATGCATAGTTCGATTTTTGACATAGACTCTACAGTTAGCATATTCCATCAAACTCAGATTTGCAAACATTCGTGATTATACTTTCATTGTGTTTTCGTTCCATTTGGAGGAAAGCTGTGTGTGCTTACAGTAGCTTGGCTCCAAATGTCCTGAATATGAACCCAGGTCTGCCCGTTAGGAGTTCAGTGAACTTAGATAACACTTGTGTGTGCGTAGTTTTTGTCTTTAATTTTTACTAGTTTACCTGATTAGCTTTTATTGAATCCACTTCTGCCAAGTTTGCTTCTGTGAAAAGACAGCTATAAACTACTACACAGGGAAGTCATTCCAACTTCCTTTAGGATCATGATTCTACAGCAATTGCTGCTGTTGTCTTTGGCAAGAATTAGGGCTTGCAGCAGTTAGACAAATGCTCTAAGAGTCAAAGAGACTACAAGGGTCAGAATTAGAACCTAGACCTGTGGCTCTAAATGCTGACCTCTTTTCCTATCCTATGAAGAAGTGAAAAGTTTGTGCTATCAATAAAGAAAACAATGTTTAAATTGGATATCTGAGTTACTCTTTTTTTTTGTTATCTGTATAAGGGTACATTTTCTCTCTTTGGAAAGTTTAGAATTCTCTTCTCAAAGCAGCTCCTTTATTGTTCCATCTTCTTGGTCTGCCCAGACTCCTTGTAAACATGAGTTTCCACATTTGTATTTTATTATGAACTACAACTGAATCCATTTGCACCACATTAATCTAGCACTGTAAGGAGAACTAGAGAGAACTAGAGGCTCTTTGGCTGTTGTAGACATTTTCACATTATTCTCTTTTCCCCCTGTAACTGGTCATGTAAATTCACAAACACAAACTCTGGTTTCTGATGGTTAAGTCTTCTCAGACTGAATTTAGTCTGAGCATTGTTCACAGACAAGACACATAAGAACTCTCTACTGCTCTGCAGATGAAGCAGCCAAGAATTTAAAACTCAGGAAGGGGTGAGCTATGCTTCAGCCAAGACTTGCCATGCTATTTCTCTGAAGCTTTCTTTGGGTCTGAATAATGTTGCTGGCGAGCATTGCTGCGAGGTCCCTTTGCCAGAGAACACTCAGAGATAACACTCCCTTGACAACTGTTGACTGGTTAGCTTCATCATGGCGCTTCCTGGCCTTACCAGCGTCCTTGCTGAATCTCTTGTAAGCATTAACACACACTGTAGCCCATGTGAGAGAAGATGTTGGAGGAGTCCAGCCTCCTCCATAGGCCCCAAGGACCAGATTGGTCCTCAGTGGACACTGCCAAGGAGTAAGATTTAAGATCAAAGGACATTAATGTCATTGAGCACGATGGAAGGGGAAAAAGCGGTTTTCAAGAATCTGGGGGAAAAAAATACATTAACTGGAGGCAAGAAAAAGAATGGAAAGTAAAGTAAAATGGACAATAACAGTTATGACATATGCATCTCCAGCCCCAGCAGAGACCAGGGTCAGTCCCTAAACTTAGCTCTAGAAATGTTTGTGGATGAAGACTGTGACGATTTTAAAGTCCCAGGTGATCATATGATTATACTTTGCCACCAGCACATGGAATATAACTGAGGAGGAAAGTAGACATTTTTGGTAAAGAAAGGCTACGTAATAGACTTATTGTATGAAGTAAAAGGAAACATGCAGTATATGTTCTTCCAATTCATGTGGGCAAAATTAGTTTGGGATGTAGCTAGCTGGCGCTCATACAATCCGGCACAGTTAGATTTGAGGATGGTTATGTAGTGTGGCTTTTAAGCTCAGCCCCTCCAGCAAGGATAACCTCTGTGTGATGTGGGTGGTAGCTGGGATTCGTGTGGGTCCTCTCTGCACCTCTTAGTTTCAGGACAGTGACGCAGCCTGGCAGATTAAGCACATAGGCTGTTCGTTCATGGGTCCCTTCTGCCTGTCTTTTAAGGTCCAGTTGAAAAGTGAAGAATCCAAGACATTTGCGATGAAGATTCTCAAGAAACGCCACATTGTGGACACAAGACAGCAGGAGCACATTCGCTCGGAGAAGCAGATCATGCAGGGGGCCCATTCTGACTTCATTGTGAGGTAAAGGTGCACCCAGACGATGAATGGGCCGCCACCACGTGGCAAATCGACTGCAGCCCTCTCCTCCCCTGTGCTTACCCTTACCGTGTTTACTTCATGTTCACAAAGAAAACCTGATGAAAGTATATTCTATTTTCTAAGAATAAAAAGGGCTGTTTCTACATTTATTTTTTTAAAGAGAATCATAGTCTTATATTCCCAGAAAAGAATAATTTTCCCAAAAGAGGTATCAACTTTTAATATTTTGTTTTCATCATAGCTCTTCAAACATCTACCTGGACCTCAAAAGCACAAGAAGCAAATACCAAAATCAGATTGTTTAGCATTACTTTGCTGAAGAATTTAATTGTTTCTGTGTGTATGCGTTGAATATACGTGTTCATGTTCATGTGTACACACATGGGAGAGTGCACGCAGGTGGATTCACATGTCTGTGGAAGCCAGAGATGGATGCTTGCCTCTCTTTCAAGCGCTCTGCACCATATTTTTTTGAGACATGGTCCATCCCTGAACCTGGAACTCATCCATTTGGCTGGGCTGGCTAGCCAGTGAGCTCCAGGGTTCTGCCTGTCTTCAACCCCTGAGCACTGGGCTTACAGAGAGGAGCAGCCATGCCCAGCTTTTATGTGGTACTGGGGATCTGAACTCAGATCTTCATATCTATGTAGCAGGTACTGTACCGACTGAGGCAATTTCCCCAGCACTAAAAGATGTCTTTTTTGCTTTGTTTTGTGTTCTAGGACATGGCAGCTAATATGTCCACCTCAGTCTTTGCGTAGCACTAATAAGATGATAAGAGAGATGATAGAGAGTTTCTATAAGCAGAAGAAACCTTCGTGATTAATTTGCCAGTAACGTTCACATAAAGTTAAAAAAAGGAATTTAAGTGGCTTTTTTACAGTCTATAGTTATAAAATATAATATGCTTTGTGCTTCCAACCACTAAGTCTTGCTCAAGGCCATGCTTGAAACAGCAGCCAAATAGGAATTGATAGAACCTCAAGAAACTTCTCTTTTTGATCAGCCCACTCCAAAAGCTTCTAGTTTATGAGAGTTATCCATGGGGACACTGGCTTTGAATTTGAGTGCCATTCGTTCTCATCACAAAATACCAGGAGTAGCAAAGCAAAACAGGGCACCCTGAGCGCTCACTGTCTTTTGTGATAAGGACGTTACAAATTATCTCTTTTATCTGTTTGAAAATATTCAATGCACTATTGTTGACTACGCAAAGGGAACACCAGAACTTAGTCCCCCTGTCTCACTACCACAAATATGCAACACATTCCTGGCTTAGCTCCTAAACAGTACATATATTTATTAAAACATCCTGCTGTGGCCCATGTATCTAAACATGTCAATAAAATAAAATGATTCACCAAACTTAAAAGGGAATGTTTTTTTTTTAAATAATAATGTTCATACTTTTGTTTTCTTGTTTACTGTTCACAGGCTATACAGGACATTTAAAGACAGCAAATACCTGTATATGTTGATGGAAGCTTGCCTAGGTGGAGAGCTCTGGACTATTCTCAGGGATAGGTAGGCGATTTCAACCTTTCTGTCATGTTTCTGAAAACGAAGTGATCCATAATGGTCTAAAAGAAGAATCCACAGTTATCACATATAAAATTATATTTACATTTTACATGCGCTCACATTTTCCATTGTAAACATGAGACATGGCCAATGACACATAGAATTTTCTATAAGATACGTAAAACTCACCTTGTAATGAATGGGGTAGGTTGAGTCCACCTTACAAATGATCAGTAGGAGAGTCTATACATCACCCAGGCCTTAGTGAGCTGTAAGGATTGGAAGGAGCCGGCTCCGTGCCTGGAATTCCACACCATGCTTTAGCCTGGGGAAACTGAGAGCTGTACCTTAACTGTAGTCTGGGTCACCTGTCACTTTAATTTCACTGCAGTTTTCAGATGGTCTCCTTACCTTTTATGATACTGATAAATATTCCCAAAGTTACTTTTTCCTCTCTTTCATAGCTCTGTTTTGAAAACCAACACTGCTCCGTTGTCTTTCAGAGGTTGTTGACTTTAGGGGGAATTAATCCATTTAGCTGCGCCTTTTCATGCAGATGATGTGATTTCCCCTTCTATGCTTCAGGAGGTAGTTTGTTTAGAGAGTACACATTTGCTTCTCTGAATTATTTTTTCTAATTTCTTTATTTTTATGTTCCAACAAGTATTTCTTGCTCATTCCCTATAACATAACTGATCTTCGATCACTCAAAAGTCATTGTGTACCCCGACCCCGGGCTAGAGATCAACTTTAAAATCTCACACTCACTAAAGAAACACCCTTCCACTGAGCTACATTCCCAAATGCTATGTAGTCCAAGCTGCCTAGAACTCTTGATCTAGGCCTCTGACTTCAGAGTGCTGGTATGGCAGATACGTGCTGTTGTCTTTGCCCTTACAAAGAACTCATTTTTATACAATATTTTTCTTATTTATTCCAGCCTTGCCTTCAAGTTCTCCTTCATTTCAATAACCACCCCCACCCCAAATTTAACTAGAGATAGACCTGATGTCCCTATGTATCATATGAATTTTAAATATCTGTTTTGTTTTGTTTTGTTTTGTTTTGTTTTGTTTTGTTTTTACACAGCCCAGGTTAGAACACGAGGTTCTTTACAAACTTCTGATTAAGTTCTCCTTCTAATTCTACCTCGTTAGTGTCTTTGTTCCTTCATATAGCTTATTCATTCAGACCTTTGATCTTAGTGGCCTTACACACACACACACACACACAAACACACACACAATCACTTTCTGCTGTGTTGTAATTTAATATACTGGTATTATTATATATTAATTATAGGTTAAAACGAAGCATGCAAAGCATTTCATTTTGTTGACACAGTATCTACACTCAGCTCCCATATCACTGCATAATACTGCATTGTTGGCTAGTCACTGGCGTGATTCTGTGACAGCCATGGTAATGGCAGTCCTGGATATACTCTGATAAATGGGGTAGATATAGATATGGTCCCATTCCTCAGTGGGACTTGCTAACTGCTACAAAAACTTAATGTTTTGATGTGTGAGTTAGCACCTAACATTCCTCACATTGTTCTACTACATATTGTTTTTCAATCTGATAGTTTGTGGGAAACCTTTTCTCTATTTTCTGTCCATCAAAACAGGAGGTTTGTAGGTAGAATTAAACAGGAAAGTATAATACGCTGTACAGAGGAAGGACCAGCTATGCTCTCAGAGCTCTGTAAACTTGGCATTAAGTTCCTTTATTAGAACAATAACCATGGCAACAATACTAGAACTCAGCCTGCAGGCATCACATATGTCCACTCATCAATATTCAATCCACTCTTGCAAGGAAATGTCACCTCATGTTTTTTCTCATGCCGCTTGAGATTACAGTCTGGCTGGACAGGCTGAGGTTCTGAGTGGGCTTCACTCTGCCTCAGCAGGATAACAAAGCGGGGGCTGTGAAGAAGCCATTTCCCTTAGGAGGAGAGGATATATAATAACAGTGAAGGCTCATTCCTCCATCTCCAGGGCCTGCATCATGTTCCTCCCTTTTCCTTCCCCTGAGTCATCCTTGAGCTCTGAGTACATGATTGCCATGAATCCCTGGGGAACTTGAGAAGGCAGGACTGGGCTTACTGGGGAGAAACAAAGACTGCTCAGTTCTTCGAAAGATTCCAAAACATTAAAGCCCCACATTAAGACGATGGATATCTATTATAAATGCATAGACTTGGCCCCAGTTCTCCCACCCATTCCCCCTCTGTATACATACATAGTCTTATTCCTGTTCTACAGAGATTTATTTTTACCTCCTCAATAAAATGCTGGGAGTCAAGCCTGTGAGCTCATTCCTGTAATCCCAGCTAGTCAGTAAGGTGAGGTCGCTCCAGGCAATCTTATACCTTGTCTCAAATATTAAAATGAAAAAAAAAAAAAAGCTTTGAATGTAGCTCAATGGTAGCACACTTGCATATCATGTTAAGATTTCTGATTTAAAACCTTGCGATGAAAAAAAAATAAATGAAGAAGCAGAAAACACCGTGGTCAGTTTGTTCACTTTTCTTCTTGTGTCCAAAGAAAGCAATGGTAAGGAAAAACCTACCCTGAAAGTATACAGAAGTGCCTATGAGTCTGGGAAGCAGGCTTGTAGAACAATTTTCTTTACTGACTGGAGCCTTCTTCTTTAGCACAAGAAGTCCCCGAGACCAACTCAGGTACCCTCTCCCTTTAGCTCTTGGCTATGATGACCACTTTCTGACTCTCCAATTGCTGTCATCAGCACAGAAAAGGAACACAAAGCAGTTCTGTGGTTGTTAATTTTTTATTATTTATTTATTTTTTTAAATTTTACATGCATTGTTGTTTTGCCTGCATGTGTGTGAGGGTGTTGGATCATCTAGAACTGGACTTGGGAACTGCCATGGGTTGCTGGGAATTGAACCCAGGTCCTCTGGAAGAGCAGCCAGTACTCTTAACCACTGAGTCATCTCCCTGGCCCCTGTTGTTATTTTTAACAAGAATCAAATGCTGGGAAAAGGATTCCATCTTTAAGAGCAAGGATAAGGACCTAAGTTCAAAATCCCAGGGGCCCCCACAAAAAGCTAGGCATGGTCGTATGTGCTTGCAACCCCAGCACTCGGGTCAGGCAGGAACGGCAGGATCTTTATGGAGCTTTATGCTTGCCAGCCTAGCACCAGTTTCAGAGAGAGACCCTGTCTTGGGGAATAAAATAGAGTGACAAAGCAAGACACTCAAGTTCTCCCTTTGGCACATAGATATCTATACCCATGCACATACATAGACATATATACTATACATATACCACACTCGTGCAACTTACACACACACAGACAGGGAGAGAGAGAGGAGAATTAAGCTGATGCTACATGCAGGCGAGATTGGAGAAGAACTGTGAAACACTGGAGTATTAATTATTCCTTACATTTCTCTCATTTCTTCCTTAGTAGCTATTATAATTCATCATCTAGTTCACGAAGGTTTTTCTTTTTTCCCAAAAGTTCTCTTTTGTTCTTTGGGATAAGACAAATGCAAATTATGTTTTATTTGCTTTCCCTCTAACACCTAAAATATTTGTAAGTCCTGACATTTTAAAAAAAATGTTAATTAGCTAATATAATAAATATTTATTGGTATTTGTGTTACCGAGTAGAATATGGTAAAAACACACATTAGCATGTTAATAGGATATAGCACATAGCACATATGTCAACATGAATATTTGATGTATATTTTAATCTAGTGAAGCTGCATGTTGATTATTAGGGTTTTTATTTTTTGTTCATTTTCTTTTTGCTGAATAACTTAAGTATCTCAGAAATCATGATTTCCAAATCATACACCATCTCAATTTTTCATCATATGTTTTCCTGGGTAGAATTTATGATCTTGGCTATTCTATGGAGGTTGATAATTTAATTTCTCCTTTAGTGGCTTAATAGATGGCATTAATTGGCAGTGTTTCTGAAGGAATGAATCAATCTACCCAATACCCTGGCTACGCCATTTTACAATGGGTCATAACCCTGAATACTGCAACACACTTCAGATTTATGTACCCATTAATGATTGCTGCCACTACTTAATGATCCCTGTTCTCATTTGATAAGAGGTATTTTGTCTCTGTTACATTCTGACATCTCGGTATTCGGTTTATGGTAAGCTGAGTAAATACTGTGATTACATTTTAATTCAAGTTTATAAATAAATATATAAAAACCCCTACTTTTATCAAATTGTCGTTTCATGCCATTTAGCTAAACCAACAACCCCTAAAGAATGTCTGAGGGCCTGTTTCTGTAGTTTGACTTGAAATGATAAAGCTGTCAAAGCACTTGTTATTTCAAAGAGCTGCATTGAATAAATGATTTATTTCTTTGAGCAACTCTCTAAACAGCTGGTAAAATATGCTTTCACTTCTGTTTAGGTCAAGTTTACAATGTCATTACCAATTCTAATTGTAATGTTTCATTTTGAGTCACTCGAACACCATGCACTGTGGCTGTTTTCGGTGGCCTTGATCAAATGTTTAGGGACGCAACAATGTGCTACTGATAACGCTGTTTGCATGCACTTGTGGTATTAAGTTCTTCAAGCTTGAGACAAGGGTTTTCTGAAACCTTTAGAATGAGTTACAAAATAAATGGTATGTACTCAATAAAGATTGTTTAAATAATTAGAAACCAACCTTTCTAGAGCCTTCTAAATTCCACAGTGGCTCAGAACCATGAGAGGTACCCCTGATAAAAGGAAGTAAAACAATCTCTGGATTCAAGCAAGTGATGCAGTGTGAAATCTTCTAAAACCCCACTCCTGTACTGTTCTGAATAGCATTATTCTGAGTGATGATTTATGTTTGGGGAGATTGAAATCATATACAACACAGAATATGCTTAACTCTTTAAAAGTAAAGCCTTTGTTTTCAAACATGCTAATTTATTAAGGCCAAAGGAGAAAAGGGACTCAGGACAATGCTTTTATCCCTTCCCAGTCCCTAGGATTGCAGATTTTAAAATCTGCCTAGATTACTTACCTGTTAGAGGGCAGTTGGAGCCTAAGGAGCACTATTCGTTTCCTGATATGGATGTGGTTCCTGGCTTTTATCTTTTGAAACTCACAGTTGTGTCACTCAGAAATCATTGGGACGATGGTATAATCTTAGTAATGCAAGCTACTCCTGATTCTTAGAGTAGATGGCATCCTACCTAGAATTTTATTCATATAATTTGTGATTGAGACAAGGACTCTCTAAGGTCTAGGCTGGCTTCTGGCCTCAGCCTCCCAGTTACCCGGATTACAGCAATATGCTATCATGCCTCACTTATCTGACTAAGCAATAGAGAAGGATATAGAGTTCTGTAGAGCTGAACATACTATTTCCTGCAAGACACCTGCTTTAGCCCGGGATCTGCAGATGAGTTTTGTAAACTCGTGGCCACAGCCCACTGCTCAGTTCGGTGAGACTTCACTCTTCAGTTTTTAAAAACAAGTATGGCCAAAATGCAAGCGGGTGTGAAGGAGCCACAACAAGTAAGTTCCTGCACTGCTGTTTATTGGACACCACGTGAAGTTGTGATGGCTCCTGTTCCATTGCAGCCACATGGTGAGCTGATAAATGTCATGGCAACGGCCATACATTCCAAAGTTATTTAATGGAGTCTCAGTATTTGAGAAAGAAGTAAAAGAACACGCTGATCTTAAGTTCTGTTCAGGGACGAAACAACTATAAAAGTTCTTCTCTGGAGACAAGGAATCACCTTAGAAATTTCTTTTATTATTATTATTATTATTATTATTATTATTATTATTATTATTATTGAGACAGTTTCCCTGTGTAGCCTTGGCTGTCCTAGACTTGCTCTGTAGATCAGGCTGGCCTCAAACTCACAGAGGTCCACCTACCTCTGCCTCCTCAAGTGCTGGGACTACAGGCGTGCACCACTGTGCCTGGCTTTTATTATTATTTTAATTAATAAAGTTACATATTTATATCTAGACACAAATACAGACAGATGAGACAGAAACCAGAGGCAGAGAGGCAGAGAACAAGTGCTTTCTTGTTAAACGTTTGGCATTTAATAGTTCCTTCCAGTGACTTTTTTTCTCCTTTTAGTTCCATTACTTCCTAGAGATGAGAAGGCAATGGTATAGAAGGTAAACACTGTTTATCTTGAAGGCAGATGTTTCAGAGACTTAACATATAGCTGATGAGGTGCCATGTGCACGGTTAGAGCTCCAAAGCATGGTTCTCTGTAAATGCTGGCCTCTTTCATTTTCATAGCCACAAGAACCACATCTATACCCTTTAGAAAGTTCAAGATATAAATTTGCTGAAAGTTACCATGAACAGTGCATTATATAAGTTATATATATATATATATATATATATATATATATATATATATATATATATATGCATGTTTATTATTGAAGGTGAATAATCTTTGTTCCTTGGTGCAGGATATGTCTAGTATATGTGAAGAACTTGGTTTGATCCCAAGTAAGAAAAGAACAATTAATTAATTAATCAAAATAACCTCTCATTTGAAAAGCAAGCTGAAGGCAAGCGAGTGCTAATATAGGACTCCTTTCCCTGCCCACTGCTGTGACTTCGTGCATTTTTTACATAGCAGCAGGCTGTTGAGAGGAAGCCACAAAATCCAAGAAACTTAGTATGTTACTGATCCCTTCTTGAACCTTCCAGGAAGCTGAATTTAACTATCCCAGGCAAAATGGCAAATAATTATTTGGCTTCATCCTCAGATGCTTTAAGAAAAAAAAACCTAATGGAATGGGAATCATGTAATATGGAGCCTCTTAGTCTCTGAGCCAACTTTGATGCAGAAATATAATGAACTCACATACACATGAATCGATCAGCCTTTCTAGAGAATTAATTTCTCATACACTGTTCATTCTATCTTTCACTTCCAGGGGGTCATTTGAAGATTCGACAACCAGATTTTACACAGCATGTGTAGTAGAGGCGTTTGCCTATCTGCATTCCAAAGGAATCATTTACCGGGACCTCAAACCAGAAAATCTCATCCTAGATCACAGAGGTTACGCCAAACTGGTCAGTGTGCTTTGCCCACGAATTGCACTCCATTTCAATGTTGTAAACTCTTGAAAGTGGTGTTAGCGTCGTGGTTTTTTAATTAAAATTAAAATGCATTTCAAATTCTGTAAAGTGTTATGGGAAATTAAGTTGGCTAGGTTTGGATTACTAATACCTGCGCAAAGCATGTGTTCTAACGGGTATTAGAAATGGCCTTGTCATAGTCACAGACCTGAAAGCAATTGTACATAGCACTCTGTTTCCAGCCAGCTTTCAGCTGTTCAAATGCTGTAGAAATGTAGCGCTCTACCAGACCACGAACATTTTAGTATTTGACATTAAAGAATAATACTTACAAGAAATGAGCCCCGAGTTAGCGTTTTCTAGGTTATGTTAACAGCAATAACACCAACAACTGGCTAAGAGTTCTAAAGAGCTACTGTATAAGAGAAGTTCTTTAATTTTAAAAACGTCCAACTTCTGTGAGCTCTGTATCTGTTGGTGCCCGATTCTACTATAAACTTTTAGAATTATAACCCAAGCATGGATTTTAGATATATCCAAATCAATGGCAGGAAACTATTTGTGTCTAAATCAAGTCATTAAAAAAAAAGGAGGCATTCTGTATTTGCAGCTTCTCCAAAAAGTTCCCCTAAAAGGAGAGACATTTGTTTTGATCTCCTTGTTTCCCAAGAGTGGATGTGGCTCTCTGCACTGTGTCATTCAATTCCTTCAAAAGTAAACCTTCTTCTCATGTATCCAGTACTAGTGGTGTCAATATTATACATCCAAAAGAAAGCATGCACACTCTGGGAAAACTTTGTGATGACCCACCTGGACCTCTGACTTTTTAAAAGAAAAATTCTTTATGTCACAACCACTATCAGCAAAATAAAAAAATTAAAATTAAATTAAAAAAATTTTAAAAAGTAGGAAAAATGAAAAAGTGTTTCTTGAAACAGCTTTTTCTTTTAGTGATTTCAATTGTATCCATTTTCAGGTTTCACTGTTTTCATCAGAACTGAATTTGAGCATCTGTGTCTGAATACAGGGCTGTAGTGACTTATTTCTTTAGTGGCATCATCGGTATGCTCAGCTAGATACATATGACTCCACAACTTGATCATAAATAGCTTAGGTGTCTTGCTTTCTCTCTTCCTAAGGTTGACTTTGGCTTTGCAAAGAAAATAGGATTTGGAAAGAAAACATGGACATTTTGTGGGACTCCAGAATATGTGGCCCCGGAGATCATCCTGAACAAAGGCCATGACATTTCAGCTGACTACTGGTCACTAGGAATTCTAATGTATGAGCTTCTGACTGGCAGGTATGGACATTTACAAGGAACTGCGAATAACAATAGACCTTAGGCAGCTGTGTACTCCTGCCTTTGGCACTCTGATTAGATGATCTTAAAGTACATCTCACTACACCATGGAACTCAACTTCACTTATGTATGCAAATAGTCACAGATACAGAAAGCAAGCAGCAAAGTAGGACACAAGAGAGCAACTAACTCGATACCAACTTCAACATTGCCGTCACTATCTTCATATTTGTGTGTGTAACACAGAGAGATCAAATTTTCTTGGGATTTGTTAGACTGGTCATTTAGCTAACAATACAGTATAGGAAATGATAATCACATAAAAAGTTCTAGGGTAAAATTTCCTTAGAAGCAAGAAGACTTACTAGCAGATTTTTGTATCTAAATGAAATGTGAGCTATTTGGTCATCATTTCTATGATGTTATAATCAACAGTCATCAGGAATAGCACAGGACATAAGACACATTATAAGTTCCCCAAGAAATAATACTGAAAGAAAAACTAATGGACCACCATGATATGTGGTGACACAGGGTCATCATAACAGAATAAGGCTTCTGTTAGACCTTGCAGGAAGAGTATAATGTAGATGTAGAGAGAGAAGGAAAAGACATTTTAAGCATGGCTTTCCTCAAAAAAATTAAAAAATAAAATTAAAATATGATTCAAAAGTCTCACTATTAAGTATTACCAGTGACAGGAAGTTCAAAATAACATCGCCATGATGAATCTGATGCAAATTTTCCAAGCTCAGTGTTAAGAAATAATTCTACTGATATCAAAGGCACAAAGCATGAGGCGTGGTGTTGGCCAAACATCAGAATAGGCCTTTCTCACAAACACTAATTGTCAACAAAAGGGTGAATCTCATGAAAGTCTCATCAACAAAGAAACTGGCAAGTGGATTGGTGCTGTTTTACTTTAAATAATTAGAATTTAGATTAAATAATATAAATGTCATTGAAGAGAATGGAAATATTATATTCCTTAACCATTTTAATACCAATGTCATTAAAAACTGACATGGAAAGAAGGGGCTGGAATAGTTATAGATATATTTCTTTTTCATCATTCCAAATCAATAATCTCAAATATTTTCATAATTGAAGAACCAAAGTTCTAGCATTTTTTGTTTTAGAACAATATTTTAGGGAATTGATATTATTGTTTAAAATATCCAAAGCTCAGCATTTCTTTCAGTGTTACTCCTGCTTGAAACAAAATTAACTTGAACATATATCTGCATTTTAAAAAGCATATACTTTTCAGAAAAGAACAGACCGGGAGTGGATTTGGGGAGAGGGAAGATAAGGGGGAACTAGAAAGAGCAGAGAAAGAGGAAACTGTAGTTGGAATGCATTGTATAAAAAAATTATTTTCAATGTTAAAATTAAATTTAACATTTAATGAAAAGGACTTTCATAGTAGAACTCTTTTTTTTTTTTTTTTTTCAAGACAGGGTTTCTCTGTGTATATCCCTGACTGTCCTGGAACTTACTCTGTAGACTAGGCTGGCCTCAAACTCTCAGAGATCTACCTGCCTCTGCCACCCAAAGGCTGGGATTAAAGGCATGCACAGCCACCACCCAGCCCTAAAAGAACTCTTAAACTGACTTAAAAATCAGTTCAATTTTAAATTAATTTAAAGGCAGACAAGTGTTCTAATGGAGGACATTTTAAAGGGTGATATAATGTGACCATACATCCAGCATAAATTTTACTAGATTCTTTTTCAAATCAGAAAACATCTAAAGCTAACTAAAATATAGTCCTTTTAAATGAAAGATTATTATACAGAATGGGCTTTGTGCTGTTTAATTATATCTTTCAAAAGTTTACTATCATGTCAGAATTATCAGCCTCAATAAAAACAATATATTGTCTTCATGAAAAGAAAAAGCATATACACTGTAATACTGTCTGTGCTCATGTATACAAATAATTTCATGAAATCATGTTCATCAAATGTTGGTTATTAATTTGGGGGGCATTATATAGCTTATTTTGTACTAAATAATAATTTATAGGGTTATGAATATTTTAGCAAAGACTAAGCACATATCATCATTAAAATATACAAAAGGCATCTCTACTAAATTATGTAGTTGTCTAAAATAAACATGAATATAAAAAGCATGAATTAGAAAGTTAATCACAAAAAGACTCTAAGGATTTTATTTTTCATTTTGAAGCAAGATCAAAACTGGCAAATTAACTTAAAAGAGTAAAAAGAACGTGCCATCCTGGCAACACATAAAGATGCTCAAACATTAGGAGATTAAACAAAATTGTATTTGTGCATTTGAATGGCAGTTAAAGTTGCAATTACTAATAATGTACTAAAGTAAATAAACACATACACACACACAATATCAAGGAAATACTATCGTAGCCTAAGAGTGAAGAATACAAACACAGGGGTCTAAAATAATATAATTGATAAGATTTATTCCCCAGAGATGTATAGACTGTATTTCAAGAGTAATTTCTGAAGAATTTGTCAACTGTATGATAGTCACCCACGTGCCACCAGTGAGCAGTGTGGAAAAGGCAGGAATATTCAGGAGACTGCACAATGACCAAGCACAAGGGTGAGAGAGGGTCAAAGGATGGAGAGACCATTGCACAAGCTGCATCCATCAATGGCTTTGCTAAACGGTGGCCTGGGAAGGCTTGCTGGGTGTTTGGTTAGCTTCATTGTCATAGCTAATGCAATTCCAGGCCAAAAAGCTGACGTCATGAGCGTGGCTGTAACAACATTCTGATTCTTATTCAGAGACTAAAAACACTATCTCTTTTACCTTCCTACCTGACAGCCCACCTTTCTCAGGCCCAGATCCTATGAAAACCTATAACATCATACTGCGGGGGATTGACATGATAGAATTTCCAAAGAAGATTGCAAAAAATGCTGCTAATTTAATTAAAAAACTATGCAGGTAAGTGTTTGAAGCGCATCATCTTTAAAGGGTCATAATGTGTAAATATTCGACTTTTGTTCACATGATGATTGTTTCCTTTTTAGGGACAACCCATCAGAAAGGTTAGGAAATTTGAAAAACGGTGTGAAAGACATTCAAAAACACAAGTAAGTGGGTTTTTGTATAACTTTAGATTTCAGATTCCGGAAAGCATGATGCGTTTCCCCATGGTGGAAGCTTTTAGCCACTGGTTAGAACATTCAAAGAGAGGGTTATGTTTTCAAAAACCTTTCTATGTGTATCTGGAAATCTGCTCATTAATATCCACCAATTCACTGACTATCAATCAATTGATACTAACCAGTATTTATATGTTTTACCATTTGGCAGAAAGAAAGAAAGAAAGAAAGAAAGAAAAAGAAAGAAAGAAGGAAGGAAGGAAGGAAGGAAGGAAGGAAGGAAGGAAGGAAGGAAGGAAGGAAGGAAGGAAGGAAGGAAGGAAGAAAGGAAGGAAGGAAAGAAAGAAAGAAAGAAAGAGAAAATTTTGAGACTTTATTCTTTGATACATAGATAGTGAAACAAAATTGCTCACTAAATCATATGTGTGAGTGTATGGAGAGAGAGAGAGAGACAGAAAGAGAGATTTCTAATTTTCAGTGGCAGTGAGATGCAGGAGCTAGGGACACAGCTGCATATCCCATTTATAGTAGCTGGACCTTTTCTTTAGATTATCTCTACTCAGATGAAAATGGGAGTTCTTGACCTTGCTGAGGAGAGCCCTGCATTTCAGGTCAGGTGAAGATGAAGCAGAGTTGAAGTTAGAAGGAGATTTTTTTTTAAATCTTTTATTTATTTTTTATTAATTACACTTTATTCATTTTGTATCCCCCCATAAGCCCCTCCCTCCTCCCCTGCCGATCCCACCCTCCCTCCCCTTTCTGCATGCCACTCCCCAAGTCCACTGATAGGGGAGGTCCTCCTCTCCTTCTTTCTGATCTTAGTCTATCAGTTCTCATCAAAAGTGGCTGCATTGTCCTCTACTGTGGCCTGGTAAGGCTGCTCCCCCCTCAGGGGGAAGTGATCAATGAGCAGGCCAATCAGATTATGTCAGAGGCAGTCCCTCTTCCCATTACTATGGAACCCACTTGGACACTGAACTGCCATGGGCTACACCTGTGCAGGGGTTCCAGGTCATCTCCACAAATAGTCCTTGGTTGGAGTATGAGTCTCTGGGAAGTTCCCTGTGTTCAAATTATCTTGTTCTGTTGCTCTGCTTGTGGAGTTCCCGTTCCCTCCAGCTCTTACTATTTCCCACTTCTTACATAAAATTCCATTCACTCTGCCCATCAGTTGGCCATCAGGCTCAGCATCTGCTTTGACAGTCTATACTGCAGAAGCTTTCAGAGGCCCTCTGTGGCAGGTTTCAAGGTTGTTTCCTGTTTTCTAGAAGGAGATTTTTAATGTAAGCATCTGAGAGCACTCAGAAAGAACAATGCACACTCATGTCTGGTGTGGGCTCCTCGAGACACTTGGGTGTCTTGACAGTAGTCATGTATTCTACTTTGGTGGCTGTCAGGTTATAGCTTCAAGAATTTCTGAGAAACTTATCTTTGAAAAGGGGATACCTTGGTTCAGATAGATGTCTGCTAAAACCATGAATTGCCAGGGTTGCACAAGAGTTTAGGACATCTTTTGCTACACATGTTCTTTCTAGTGAGTCCTAGATAATTGTAGGTTTACAGCTGGGAAAGAAGAAAAGACCATGTACACTTAAACCTTAAGCAGATCCGTTGCAGTTTTAACAACTGTATAAAAAGGACAGCAAATGGTTAATTGGGATAGGATTCTTGACTCTCATTTATTAGATTTTGACCAGACTCCAGAGTGAGACATTACTTCTCATGCCTTCTTAATATTCTTTTTCTATCTTGCCTCAGTTTCTCCCTCTGAGACTTTGATCCCTCATCTTAATGATGTAAAGTATTCATCCAAAGGTCTATATTCTAAAACTCCTTTGTTGCTGATTTGGGATGCATCCAGCTAGCTAAAGTCTCAACCTCTGTGATATCTAAGGATTAGATAAAGGGTGATTACTTGGGACATCAAACCATGTAAAAAAGAAAGTATAAAATTGTTATACTTAATATTAGCAAGAAAAACACTAGTGCCCCTTTACTCTTGAGATATCTTGTACGAGATGTCTCAAACATCTTTCTGTAAGCACTTAGTGCTATGAACTTTTCTCTTAGTGCTGCTTTCATTCTGTCAAGTTTGGGTAAGTTGTGCCTTCATTTTCATTGAATTTTAGGCAGTCTCTAATTTCTTTATGTCTTCCCTGATCCATCTGTCATTGAGTAGAGAGTTGTTTAGTTTCCATGAGTATGTAGCTTTTTATTTCTGTTGTTGCTGAGGTATAGTTTTAAACCATGGCAGTCCGATAGGATACAACCATAAGAACTTTGTATATATACACAATGAAATGTGATCATATCCAACTCCTCATGGATTCCTTTTAAATTTCAAAGTAAGAGCCCTGGAGTTTGCATAAAATCAACTGATAGTTATATATCGAGAACGTGACAAAACATAAAAGAACGATTCCAATAAAGAATCTAGTGGTAGAATAAACTAAAAAGAAAACTGAGTGAGGATGATGTGACCGCTGAGTCTTAAAAAATGATACAAAACCAAACATGTAAATGTGTTACTGGAATTTATCTTTGCATATAGAAAACTACGATATTAAGATGTCTTATTTCCTTATTTCTTGTTTGAAGAGAATCCTTAAAGCTTTTCAGAATTTACAGGTTTGAGTGCCCTGTTATCAGGATATCATTGAGGCTGGGAGTCTCAGGAGGGACAGTTTTATTATACAATATAACATTTGAGACTGTCAGCACACGTGGGAGATACTTTACTTCTTGACAGGGAAGCATTTGGGTAAGACCTCATTGTCAATCTCCTTCTCAGAATGGGACGACCCTTTGTAATGAGTTAAGGAAAGGTGCTTAGTTCTGCCTCCTGGGTAATTACAGAGACAAAGTGGACGGGACATTGTGACTATCTAGATTATAGAGTTTATTATCCTTTAACCCCAAAGACAGACATGACTAGAACAGTTAATGCCTTTCTTCCCATGGGGCATGAGCTGTAATGTTTCTGGATAATTTTCTGGTCATCTGTTGGAAATAAGCATTTGATGTTGCCTTGAGTCCACCCGTCATTTTCAGTCAGTCTGTGTGGCCTCTGCCTTCTCTGCTTTGGTGCTGAGACATGTGGATTAGAGCTATTTCTGTTTATCATCTGCTAGTATTGCCACAGATCCTACAGGCTGTGAATGCCTTAGCTTTTCACACACTACAGAGCCCAGCTGTAAAATTTATCAGCAGATGTCCCCAAGCTTCTAAGGGACATCTTATTCTGCTGCACATAAGGCTTTGCTAAAAGGGATATTTCCAGGGCTGGCACTTAGGGTCATCCTTCTCAGTCACACTCAAGTGTACTTAGCAAGTGATACTAAGTTGCTGACAAAGGCAAAGAACAAAGCTCCAGTACTTAAAGGAAAATTGAAATTTTCACCTGTCAAGACTTTTCTAGGACACTTAAGTGTTTACTGCAGGCTTCTGCATGGGACTTCTACCTGGAAGCTTTGGGCAGCCATCATAGGAGCTAAAAGCCCATCATTTCCTTAGGAGGGTAGGAAGAGCTTGGGCTTCTATCTGTGGTCTTTTAGTACTTGTAGAACATCATTCCAGGTCCTTCTGGCTTCCACTGGGCCTGCCTTTAGAAATGACTTGGTCTTCCTGTCTGATACTTTCACTTGTCCTGTTAATCAAATCATTTACTGCTTTGATCATGTGATGTGTTTCTGGTCCTTCTTTGATCATGTGATGTGTTTCTGGTCCTTCCTATCTGCTGCTCTTTGTGCCTCCCATACTTTAATAATGGGCATCTCTTCCCCTTAGATTTGGGGATTTTCTTCTACAATTTTATTGAAAATCTCTTTTGTGCCTTTAACCTATAATTTATGTGTGTCAGATTTTCTGAATGTTTTGTCCCTGTGTGTGTGTGCGCTTGTGCATGTTTCAAGTAGGACCTGGGCATATGGAGTTATGTAGTTGGCCATTTTGGGTGTATGGCTATCTCATCTCACCTTTGTTGAGTGTTACTGGGATCTCGGTTTGCTGTTATCCCAACTTTCGTGGTTATGAGCCAGCTCAATGGTTTAGTCTTGGGGCCCCTCTGTGTTGATGTGTGAATGGGGTTTCAGTAGTCGCAGCTCAGCAAGGGAGAACAACTTCTGAGTCTGTGAGCAAACTTTCCGTAGACTTAGCAGAATCTCTCTGCCGGTCCTCTGCTGTGGAGCCCTCCTCTGGTTCTGCAGGTGTTATTCAGGTTGGAAGAGCAGGGGTCACAGGTCAAACCCCATACTGCACCAGGGAAGGTGATGAACAGGGTGGGAGGGCAGTATCAGGTCTTTGGGCGACATGAGTCTAGGTGACCTCCCTGGAGGTCAGGTCCAACTACACACTGTGTGGTAGCAGCGTGGTGGGGAGCATAGCTGGTGTGCACATGGGCGAGGTGTGTTCTGTGGGACCCATTGGACGGAGCACAAAGTCAGGCTGGACGCAGTGGGTATGGTGGCTGGTGGGCAGGTGAGGGGGTGGAATAGGTTTGAGACACAAACCAGAAATTCCTGATTGGATTCCATATGACACCAGGACAGAGGGGTGGATAAAGTGACTGCTAGGCAGGCACATAGGCAGACTGGGTCTAGGGGAACCTACCGGGAGTTGTGGGTTATATTCCATGTGGTGCAGTGGATGATAGGAAAGGATGAGGTAAGAGGAGGCCTACCTATTAGCCCCTCACAGATCGGTGTGGTTCAAGGTTAAGCAGGCGGAAGGGGTCCTGGTGTTCAGGTCAGATTCCACTCAGGAAACTGGGCAGGATGACTGATAGGCAGGCAGGTGGATGGGATGGCTCTGGAGATCCTGTGTGAAGTTCTAAATTATCTCCAAGATGATGTGGCAGGTAGGGTGGGTGACAGTTCAGTGGACACAGAGGATCTGAGGAGCCTCCACGGTGTTCCAGATCAGACTTGTACTGGGTAACACCATCGGTGGGACAGCTGATAGCCATCCAGGCTGAATGAGTATAGAGTTCCTCCTAGGAGTCCCATGTTGGACTCTGTGGTACCAGGGGGTCACGGGGGCAGCGTTGGGGAGGAGGGCAGAGGCACTGACAGAGTTGGCAGAGTAGAACGGGTCTAGAGTCCTAACTGAAGTTCCAGGTCAGACTCCTCGCTGTGTGGATGGGACAGGGCTGCGGAGGGTTGTGGCTACTAGGGTGGACAGTGTTGCTCACAGGCAGGTAGGTGGGGTAAGGGGTCTCGGGACCTTCCTGTAGTTCCTGGTTGTACTCCACATTGCTCCTGTGCAGAGCAGTAGATAAAGGGGCCAATCAATAGACATGGGGACAGAATGAGTCCGAGGGAACTTCCTGGACTTCTAGGAGATAGTCTATGTTCTTTGAGAACAACATAGTGAAGAGAGTAATAGGCTCACGGCTATCAGAATGGATCCAGAGAGCTTCTTGGAGTCCTGGGTCAGACTGCATGTTGTGAGGTAGTTGCTCAGTAGTCAGACTGGCTGATAGGCGGGTTGAAGGCATCATGGGGACTTTGTGGAGTTCCCTGTCAGCTTCTTGGGTCCAGGATGAGTGAGGAACAGAGTGGATATAAGGAGCCTGACTTGCATTCCAGGAAGGACTTTCTGTGGTGCTGGGCGATGCATTGGGTAGGGTGGCAACAGGCAGGCGGGTGGGTAGGATGAACCTGGGGGACCTGGGTTGGATCCCACATGGTTTGAGGCTTCAGAGTGGGTAAGGGTTAGGGATAGGTGGGCTGGGGCAAGGGGTCTAGAAAATATTTCTTTCCTTGTGAAAATAACTGTATTCCAATGAATCCCCAAGAAGGTATCTGAAACACAGACAAAACATTTTAGCTTTCCTTTTCCATCAACAGCTTATTTGGGGTTTTAAGTCCTATAATATCAGGCACCTAGAAAGAGCTGTTAAAACTCATGAACTTCTGTAGTAGGCCTACAAAGGGAACCGACAGCGAGGTTAAAATCTCTCTCTGCCTCCTCCGTTGTCATGTCTGCCTCTTTTCTTCTGAGTCACGTGCTTATGTCCGCCGGTAAGCATATTAATCACTCAAGGAAGTACAGAATTAAGTCGTTGTTTTCAATCTTTGTAGTCCAGGAACATCATCTAAGCAAAATGACTCTCAAGATGAAGGCCATTACCCAGGAAGGCAGCCTGTGCCCCAGAGAAAGAGTAATCCTCCCCTATGAGCCACCCACAATTCAAGCAGTAGGGACCTTTGTGAACCTAGAATTGAGTGATCAACCAGATAACATCTTTACCAAGACCACCTAGTTATACTTCCTGTTCTCTTCTCAGTATGTTTTACTTAAGTGTAAAGAACCTGGGCCATTAGGTCCCTCTATTTTCCACAACACAACTGCATAGATCAAACCTCTCTCTCTAACCTTTGCCATTACTGTCTCTTCAACTGTCCTAACTGGAACAAATGACCAAGATTTGTTTGTTGGGGCTATTGTGGAGCTGGGGGGCTTTTTGACTTAAAATTCCCATTATACTGTGAACTAAAAGGAGCTTGGACCAATTTATATTAGTGTTCAATTGTCTTATAAGCTGACTTGGTATCCTACAAACAATATACAGATAAAACTATATACATAAAGACAGGCCAAAGACCCTTGCTGAGAAGGTCATCTGTGTAGGAACAAAATTCCTTTGAGAGATATTGGAAGTAGGAATGTTAAAATAGTAGTTAGTCACACGCAAAAGCCCTCTTTTATATGCTTTTTCTCCTTCCTCTTCTTCAAGCCTTGAGTTTTCCAGGAACCTCACTGATAAGAAAAGATGTGTCCAAATCCCCTGTGTCACTTCTGCAAGTTAGCACCATTTGCCTTACCATATTGCAAAACAAGGCACTCATGGAGCAACCCTGTTCTCCGATTTACCAAAAAGAGGGGCAAGAGGGGATAAGAGGACATTTCTTAGCTAAATTTTTAATTTTCATTCATTTGCACCCTGATCTTAGCCTCATCCTTTCTCACCTCCCAGTCCCACACTTCCTCGTGCTCTCCCTTCCTCCTTCCCTATCCCTCAGCAAAGGGGAGACCCCCTTCCCATCCACCCCAGCTCATCAAGTCATATCAGAACTGAGCATGTCCTCTTGAGGTGCAATTTGAGCCACAAAAATCGCATGGACGGCTATTGTTAAAAGCACAGCATGCCAGCTCTTGAGATGCTCATAGGCACACCTGCCTGAGTCTTAATTCTTTGCAAGGGTTTCTCTCTCTAGTAACCCCCGTGCTGAAATCTATGTTACAATCCTTTCCTAACAAATTCTACTGCATCCTTGTACTGGCTCATCGGAGATGATTTTCTTCAGTAAGATCAAGAATCCCGTTGCCACCTGAGTAGAGGTCTCTGAAAGACCACGTCAGGCTGCTACAGGGGACAGAACGGAACTGGTCTCTGATCTTCCAACCCCAGGGAGTCTTGTTGACTCCCTGGCAAAGATAGAAAGTATTTGTAATGCGCAGAGCTAAGCATATTATGAACATGTATTAAATTATAATAGTGCAAGAACTTAGACATAGAGACAAAATTGAAATTACAATAAAGTTAAAGTGGTGTGTGAATTTGATAACTACACTTTAAGTGTAAATTTTAACTTTAACTCACATGTAAAAATTTTAGGTACAATTATTTTAAAATATTTAACAAATAAAAATGTCTTACATATTTTAATATGTCTTTACATTTTTATAAACTAAGCTATTTGAAAACATTCTGAGCCAGATGTGTGGTAGCACAGATCTGTAATGCCAACACTTGGGAACTGGAGGATCACTAGTTCAAAGCCATCATCACCTACATAGTAAGTTTGAGGTCATCTGCTTAGACTACATGAGACTCTTCTAGGTAGAAAAACAAGATCACAGTCAAGTGGGAATAATTTCTGTCATGTGAAAACATTTGCCCGACTGCTCTTCTACCGTCTATAGCAAACACATTGGGGTGAGACTATGTAGCTGAGCTGCCGTGTCTTAATTTTCTTTATTTTTGCTCCTTAGGTGGTTTGAAGGCTTTAATTGGGAAGGTTTACGAAAAGGCACCTTGACACCTCCCATAATTCCAAGCGTAAGTAGACTTTTCAGCTTATGAATGGTGTGCACTTGATGGTATTTTTCAGTCCACAAAGATTTGTTACTTTAGAGTTTTGTGATCATGTCACAAGAAAATGTGAAACATCATATTAAAATAATGGCACAGCCTAAAATCCAAACATAATGCCGACAGATCTACAGATGGCTTATTATATGTGGGATCCACCCTTTATCTTTTTTAAATTCTTCTCGCTTTTTCTTGACTACCGTCACCTTTCATTATTATCTATGTTAAAAATGCGTGTCCATGCTAGAAGAGTATGGAGAATTGATGGCAACCATTTTTGTAGTGTTTCACTTACACGCCCACACCTACCCTGCATGACTTCAAAGCTTTGTGTTCTTTCCTCCTTCTATAAAGACCTGTAAGGTGGTTCTCTCTTCCGAACGCAGTTTGCCTGGGGGTCAGGAGGTATGCCTCAGATAGCCATTTCACCACGTGGACTGCGTATGCAGTATCAACCTAACACAGAGTCCAGCTAATGGAGCTGTTTCCTTCACCTGAATGCCCCTGTTTAATGAGGCTGTACTTAGCAGTCCCTCCCTGCTTTTGCTTTTTCGTCTACACGCTTCAGCTCTCCCGGATTAATTCAAGATTCTTTGTCTATAAAAACATTTTCCTTTCTTCTAAGATTTATTTCTCTGCTGACTTCTTTTTTATTATTATTATTATTATTCAGGAAACAAAATAAAAACCCTACACCCACAGCTTACATCATAGATCCCAATTACATTCATGGGGTTTTGTTTTTAGGAGGCCCAAATATTTGAGGTAAATTTTTCTCACTTAAATTGAGCAGAGATGGTTATGAGGGTTTTGGATGATCCCTGCATATCAGACTTAAGCAGCAAATACGTAAGGATTGTGCTGAAGTTTAGAACAAATCTCTAAACTTCCTTTGTACTTAGAATAAACACAAATTTTTAGAATACTTTCATTATACTTTTTTAAAATCAATATATAATATTCATAATATGGCATGCCAGGACCTGTGCTCTGGCTCTGCCTCCTTCTTTGGCTTTGTCCCATTCCATTCTCCTCCCTTAGGCAGCAGTCATGTTGGCCAGATTGTTAGTTTCAGAACATAAAACCCTTTTTGGGCCTTGGTGTGGGCTATCTTCTTTACTGAACAACAATTTTTAAGTTAAAGTAATATTTTGGCAACAAGATTTTTTTTCTATTGTCACTCAAATTTTCAGAGCCCCTTGTAATTTTCTTTAGAGTATTAGGATTTTATAATTCCTTCCAGATTTATATGATTATTTGTTTTACTTACACACTCTACAGTATAATTTCCCCCGAGTGTTTCCAATTCCTCAGAGTTACTCAAATTTTCAAACAAAACATTCACACCATAGTACATGACCAAAATTTGTCATAGAATGAAGAATGTTAAAACGCCATGATATCAGTATCAGGTGTGGTGGCACACGCCTTTAAATCCCAGCACTCGCACCTTTAATCACCACACTCCGGAGGCGGAAACAGTTGGGTCTCCATGAGCTCCAGGCCTGCCTGGTCTCCATGAGTTCCAGGCCAGCAGAGGTTACCCAGGGAGACCCTGTCTCAAAACAATAACACAACTCTAGTCCAATATAAGTAGAAAACTTGTAGTTTTGCAAGGTAAGATACTACCTTTCCATCAACAGGAAAGTGAAATGAAAATTAACTGAAATCCTGTCATCTGTAACAACGTGGATGTGACTGGAGATCACTTTCTTGAGTAATTCAAGCACAGAAAACTAAAAGTGCACAGCTTACCTCCCTGGGCAATCTAAAAGCTGCTCTTACAAAGGTTGAAATTAGACTGTTGCTTACCAGAGGCTGAAGAAAACAAGGATGCCAAAAGAGTGGAGAAGGTGCCATTGACCGATAGCTACCATGGCACCAGAGCAGGATGATGAAAGATAATTGTAATGAGGAACTTTACATGTCAAAGGCTGGAAGAAAGGATGTTCAAAGTCTTCACAAGGACAAAAAAAAAAAAAGGTGCTTCAGGAGACATATATATTTACTGTGGTCTAAATATTATTGAATGCATGCGTCTCTCAAGGTACCCATCAGTATATAGAGATTCTGTTTTATGTACCTGTTTAAAAGTAAAGAACTATCTTTTTAATAAATGGAAAACAAAATCCCTAGGACACAATTCAACCAAAACCACCAAAAGCCTCTTGTTCATTCTGTCGCCTTGCAGGTTGCGTCACCCACAGACACAAGCAATTTCGACAGTTTCCCTGAGGACAGCGATGAGCCACCACCTGACGACAACTCAGGCTGGGACATAGACTTCTAATGTATTTCTCTTACCTGCTTCTGCCTTGCTGAAGACAGCTTTTTTTCTGAGACACAGCTGCCAGCAAACCTGAGGGAAAGAGAGAAGATTAGTGCTCGGGGTCACCATGATGCCTTTGATTGATGCTGCTCCAGTAACTACGGTGGCATTAGGACTTCTTGCTTAGGTTACGATAGTGCTCTTTACATGTTTTACGTTTGAACCTGAAACAGCAGTTGACATGGTGGTCCTGAAGCAAAGCCTTTCACCATAAAGTGATGTTCTCCATTGTTGCGATGACCTTGCTTTGCTCTGATTATATTTTGAGAGTGTAGGAAACACTTAATCTAGTAGAAGAGTCTGTATCTTGCTAGAATTACCGAGAAGAACAGAGAATCATATATTTGGTACGATAGATGGCTGTGGTACAGAACCCGGGATACTATTCCCTTTCGTCAAACAGAGGGTAGAGCTTGTGACAGCAAGCCAGTATGTATATCGTACAGAGAGGGCCACACATCTGTGGGTCACAGAGGTCATGTCAAACCCGTGCTAGAAGTTTCTGAGTTTCTTTCCGAGCTGATGACAAGACTGAATGTTACCTTTCCTTTCTGATAGATTCTAAAAATTGGTCTGGTCAAAAAGCACAACTGCTTTGGCTTCTGTATAAGCCTCCCATGGCAGGTACATATAGTGTGCTTTGGGAGGATGGAAAATGTGCATGGAAACTGAGAAATTGGTGTGACAAAATGGAGGGGAAAAAAGGAATTCACAACACCATTTCATACCTTTTTAAAAATATATATATATATATATATTGTGCTTAAAGATGGTCCTGGAAATGACTAGCAGCCAATTGGTTTTATTTATTACCTAACACCCTCAAACTGAGGCTTAAACTATTCCCTTTTATAAGAATAAACCCTTGGGAAAGGGGTGGGTAGGGTGGGGAGGAATGAAGACCCATCCAAAAAATAAAAATGAAAAGGTGCTATGTCTATCTTTCATCTGTAATGTCAGTGTCTGAACAGACGACACAGATTCTAATCATCATGTCTAGCCAGAGACTCAAGCATTTTCACTAACTTTATTAAAAATAAACTCCTGTCAGACATCACAACACAGTCCAGGTCTCAGAGAGAAAGGATATTAAAAATGTGTTTAAACTAGTCTCTTGTCTTAGACCTGAACCAAAAACAAGATATACATGTACAGTCTGAAAGCACAAAGCCAATGGTATTAAGACTTACTGTACTAAGGAGCTTTGCTTATGTGAGGTCAGGGAGGAAGACAAAACCTAGCCAGGAGCCGAGCGTCTTTTCCTGAGGATGTTTGTCAAAGTAAGAGGGGTTAGAGGGGAAAACAGGAAACTGATTTCTCAAAACTGCATTTTAGCTAAATGGAGCAGAGAGGTGTTACAATCTTGAAATCTCATGTTGGCCGGAGAAGACAAAATTTGAAAAGGTCAAACTAACTGTCTTTTTCACATGAGGCAAAGGATCATCAAACTAAAACAAGTATGTTGCTGGCCTGTGAGCACTGTTCTCAAGTGGCCGAACTTGCCGAGGCTTTTCGGCATGGCGGGTGGCTTGTTAATGACACAGGTAAATATGCAGCCGTCCAAGATGTGATCCTGATTGGAAATGTGTGTTAAGAACAATTTGCTATTTTTCTGGTAGTTTTTTTTTAAGGTAGAAATTCCTATAAAAATATTTCCACTAGGTCATCACACCTAATCAGAAAGTCACATGAGTTTTGTTTGAAATTTCATCGTCAAAACCACTTTCAAATGTGCGAACCTATCAAAATATAATACCCCGAAAACATTTGAAGCCTAAAACTGCTGAAAGTATATTTAACTAGGATAAAAGTTCAACTAAAACGTTGATCCCGATATTATTATTATTATTGTTTATCAGAATCCTCTCCTTCATATGCAATTTCTCAAGATTAGTCGATTTCCTGAGAGATCTGTGGATTTCACAGGCTAGATAATATATAAAATTAAACACATCTCTTAACTGATTTTAAAAACATATTTCCAACATTATAATCAGTGTTTAATAATTTTTGTTGCAAGATAGTGGGGTTTAGGTACGCTAAAGGCTTGCTGGGATGTTACATTTGTCTTGTTAGTAGAGAAGGGAATCTGTCTCTCTAATTTTCAAATATTCACAAATCCCCAGGAATTATCATGGACCATGTATTTAGGAACTGGGGTTCGGCTAAGACAACTTGTGTGTCGTGTGTCGTGTGTGTGTGTGTGTGTGTGTGTGTGTGTGTGTGTAGTTGCTTTCAGCACAATGTGACTGCGGGCTGTTTTTCATCACATGATACATCTTTGTTCATTTCATCCACAGTATTGATTAGCATGTCCAAAGCAATCACAAGAAATAAAGGTGAACTCTATCTTCCAAGAACTTCTAACAGAAAACGTTTATCAGATTTTCAACCCTGAATTTTAAGGATTTAAATCTTGTCTTAATGAAGACACTAGGGCTATAATTCATGGTCAGCTTCATAAACCACATCTTTCTGGATTCTTCCATGGCCCCTCATTTTTTTTTTGTTTTGTTTTTGTTATTGTTTTGTTTTCTTTCACAAAAGACCATCTAGATAAGTTAGAATAGAGTCAATTTGTTTGATTTGCTGACTGACTTTCTTGTTGATACTTTTACGCATGGGAAATAGGGCTTACTGTGTGTATTAAATCACAGGAATAACTGCCAACTGCCAAGAGAAGGACATCACAATATTTAATTAGAGTGAACACATTAGAAAAAGTGAGTTTGGGAAACTTGTTATAGTTTATTTTTACACTTATGACCTTCTTTGTTATTTGGATGTGAATCAAATTCATGTAGTATTTAAATTTATTATTATAATCCTCACAATCACAGGTTATTTTTCCTTAAAATTAGGGACTATACATGTGGACCACACATGTAGAATATCTGAAATATTGAATCCTTCACACTTCATTTCCATAGACCTGATGGCAAACCTGAAGACGTCAGCTACCATATTGAACACAAGTGTATTAAAACCAACTTTATACAGTAGAGGTGATCTCTGCATTATCACAATGTTTTCTTTCACAATAGGACCACAACAAATATTTATGTAAATAGATATTTTTGTGTGATATTTTGTGGTACATATAACTTTTTTTAGTGTTTCACAGCATTATGATTTCATTTTATTTGTATTAAATAATGTTTTTAGGTCCAAGTAGACTTGAATGAACATTATAATTGTTAGTATTATTGAAACTTATGTCAACAGTACTGTCACTCATCTGTCCCATAGTTTAGAACATGACCTGGCTATCTGGCATTGTGCAAGTGCCTTAAACTCATGGCATCTTATTAAGAAAACAAATTTGGTGTTATGCTGCATGACAAAGACAAACACACCTCAAAATGTTGTCCTTTCTTAGCTTGCTGCGTTTTACAGTTCTTTCTGCTAACGATTTATAAGCCTTTATTATATAATATTGATGAATTACAGAAATGATGAAGTTGTTATCTTATTTCTGTTAAATGTACCAGAGCTGTGTGTCTGTTCATGAGATACAGCGTCATTTCTGTGAAATGTATAAATGTATGTGCAGGTCAAATTACTATATGACATACTATCAGTCTGTATACAGGTATTCCTGTTTTGCTAAAGCTGTGCAGACTTGATAAATTAAAAAGAAAAGTAGTGCAGTCAGATCCTAACATATCTCATTTTATAGACTCCATTAGCAATGGTCCAACCCCCCACTCCCCCAAAAATGGAAATGACTGCTCACCACACCTCGTTATGAAACCAATGATGAAAATGTACCTTGGTGCACCCCTCAACAAAACAGGATGCTTTCTCTGAGTTCTTGTATATGCAAATTACGTCTGGAGCAAGTTTTCAGGAGACCTTGAAAGCAAAAAGTTGGTAGTTGTTAGTCCTCCTCCGTTTCTGCCCTGCATCAACAGACAGAGCTCTGGAACCTCGGCCACAACCCAGAGGTTCGGCTTTCTAAGTGAAGGGACGTTTCTTTACGCATCATCTATCAAGTTTATTTTAATGTATGATGTTTTTACAACTGGTTGGTTCTTTTGTATTCCTACAGCTATGGTTATTTGATTGTCCTCTTACAATTTGTTCTACATTAAAGAGTCCTTTGTTAGAATGCAACAAACTCATATAATGGTCATTGGCCACTTGCACTCTTTTGGTGTAGATTAAAAACTTTTTCATAACTTAACCTGCTTTGATTTGCTCTGTATTTTTCCCTGCAGCTGTAATTGCAGAGTGCCTGTTGGATACTTTATAGAGTTGAAATAAAAAATAATTACTTTTGAACGTATTTGTCTTTAACTCCAGATGAGTCAAATAATAGAATTGGCATGCTACCATTCTGCACGTAAGATGTCACATAGTCACTAACAGTATACAAAACACCTGCCACCCAGGTGTCTTCCATGAAATACCGTAATAGAAAAATAATTCAATGGTTCATATTTTTTTTAATTCAGTTAAGATAATGTCAGGCCGTGCAGGGTGGAGAATGAAGCAAGAATTCTGAGCCAAACCAGAAACATTTGATGTGTAAAAGCGCTTTCCCGAGTCTCTGCTTTCTGGGTCCTTTCACAAAGCTTCAGATACAAAAAGAACATAGATTCAGCAGACAACATGGATGGGAAAACTCAGTTCTCTGCAATGATGGTAAGCATTTCTTCATTGCAGGAAATGACTAACCTATTAAAACTAGCCTTTGTCCCACTGACATACATTGCTAGTGACAGTTCATGAAAAAAAAAAAAAAAACTTAATGAAAACTATATATTCAATCCGGTTACTGTCTCAGAAAGTTAAAAGTCAGAATGAAATGCCACTTCAATATAATAATTCAATAATTTCATTTTTTCTGAAAAGAGAAAAGTAACATGAATTTTTATTACACACCCAGTTTTCCTACTGTTGGTTCAAAGAATGGTCTCCCTTGATTCTCAAAAATATTTATTTTAATTATTCAGCATGTTAGGGGCAGTGTGCTGTGATACTCATGCTTACAAATGAGATGATGGAGGGCTAGAAATGGCCACTCCCCCACTGTCACCTTCTGTGTGCTGTTAGGTAGAGCTAAATCATCACATAGTTCTTCATGAGTCACTTGAAGTCAATAAGTCAATATGTTAGAGAAGAATGACCTAATATTTACAGAGCTCTCCTCAGATTGTCAGCCGTAAACGTGCCCTGTCCTGATAAGTCACTTTTCTTATTACTGTGACCAGCACCTGAGAGAAAATGACTTAAAGGAAATCTCTAATCTTTAAACTTCGATGCCTCCCAGATTATTAGTCCTTTAAATTAGGAAGGCACGGTGGAGCAGAAGAGTCCACCTCAGGACAAACAGAAAGTGGAACAAAGAGACTACCTAAACTAAAGGGGCCGGAGTGAAATACAGCCTTCGGGACACCCTTTAAGTGCTTACTTCCTCCAACAAGGTCTCACTTTAATTTTACTACCTCTTTAATAATTCCACCATGGCTTGAATCCATTAAGAGATCTTTAATGCAATCATTAGGCCAGAGTCCTCAGAGGGGAATAGTGTCTGGAAATGCTTTCACAGATAAACCTATAAATATCCTTTATGAATCTCTTAGATTCTTCTCAATTAAATCACACTGACAAGATTTAACTACCATGTGTACAGAAAATAGGACAGGCACCATACAAAAATTCTTTTTTTCTGGGTCCTAGTTAAAGTTTTTTTTCCCCTGTATTCTGTAACTTCTCAGGATATAAGCTGTCTTTGTACAGTAGTATTTGTCTGTGACAACTGTTTTTCAGCCAAAATTGACCTATGGAACAAATGATGAATCCATTCACACACCCATTAGCAAAGTCAA